AGTCTTCACAGAAGCAAAGCCCAAACCACACCCACTGCCATGGAGTCTATTCTGACCCACAGCGCCCCTAGAGGACAGAGTGGAACTGCCCTATAGGGTCTCCAAGGCCGTCAGTCTTCACAGAAGCAAAGCCCAAACCACACCCACTGCTGTGGAGTCCATTCTGACCCACAGCGCCCCTAGAGGACACAGTGGAACTGCCCCACAGGGTTTCCAGGGCTGTCAATCTTCACAGAAGCAAAGCCCAAACCACACCCTCTGCCATGGAGTCAATTCTGACTCACAGCGCCCCTAGAGGACAGAGTGGAACAGCCCCAGAGGCTTCCCAAGGCTGTCAATCTTTACAGAAGCAGAATGCCTCATCTTTCTCTCACAGAGCGGCTGGTGGGTTTGAGCCAACGACCTTTTCTCACACTGGACCAATAGGCAACATCATGATAAGTGGAGAAAAGACTGAAGTTGTCAAGAATTTCATTTTACTTGAATCCACTATCAATGCCCATGGAAGTACTAGTCAAGACATCAAATGACGTATTGCACTGAGCAAATCTGCTACAAAAGACCTCTTTGAAGCTGAAGTGTTAAAAAAAAGACAGGCCTAACCACTGTGCCATTGGGGCACCATTAGCAAATAACAGAGGCTAGCCCCTGGTGGCGTAGGGCCTAAGGCATTTGACTGCTAACCAGAAGGCTGGCGGTTCAAACCCATCAGCCACTCCTTGGAAAGAAGACTGGGCAATCTACTTCTGTAGTAATACTGCCTCAAACACCCAAGGACAGACCTCTATGAATTGACCTGACTTGATGGCAGTGAGTTCGGTTTCTTTAGTTTAATTTTTATTTCCTTCAGAGCAAGTTCTGGGCTACTTTTTTTTTTTTTGCAATATTTTTATTTTTTTTTAGTTGTGATTTGGGTGAAACTTCACAGAACAAATTCACTTTCCATACAGCAGTTCACATACACTTTGTCTCATGACATTGACCACAATTTACTACAATGCAACAGCTTCCCTCCCACTTCCTCCCCTTAGTTACCTCTTCCCTGTGTCCTTCCCTCCATGCACTCCTGTCCCCTGAGCTGTCTCCCTGCGCATACACAGCCCTTCTTTCTCCCATAATTGTTCTCTCCAAGGAGTGTATCTACCTCAGGCAAATGTTCAATTCATATGCCTGTTTTTGTTTGGCTGGAAGCCACAGGTGTGGGTTCAATTCCAGACCTGAAGGGCAGCTAGGGACCATAGTCTCAGTGGTTCCACCGGGCTCCATCGGACCAGCAAACCTAGCCCCCTCCCCCACTTTTTTTTTCCCAAAATTATTTTGAGTTTTGTTCCATATCATTCTCCTACTCTATCCAGGATCTCCTCCATAGATCCCCCTCTGAGTGGCTGATAGTGGTAGCCGGGCACCACTAGTTCCTCTGGTCCCATAGTCGTATAGGCTGCAGATCACATGGTGTATCAGTTGCTAGGACTAATTCTTTCCATGAATCTTTGGTTTTCTTCATTCTTCTTTGCTCTGGATGAGGGGAGACCCATCGTTGCATCTAGATGGCTGCTTGCAAGCTTTTAAGATCCCAGTCCCTACTCACCAAAGTAGGAGGTGGAACAATGTTTTGTGTAGTATGTTATGCCAATTGAGCTTGATGTCCCCTGCGACTATGGTCCCAAGCCCACAGGTTCAACTACTCGGTTGCTCTGGGTAGCTGGCTGTGCCCAAGAAGTGACTACAACCTTACCCCTTGTCAGCTCTACTATACACCTGGGAATTCTCACAGAACATACAAATACACTTGTAGAACTATTGTCTGCCAACCCTATACATGGTCTTGGGTACACTCCCTGATGCACAGACATACCTAATAGTTCAGCCTGTCCACCCATCCATCCACCCGTATACTCACGTTTGCTGGGCTACTAGTTTTAAATGTGTAAATTCACGAAAGGACCTGTAATTACCCTCTAGGGTATGTATGGATGCTATAGATTTTGGCTGGGACTTCTGTTCCTCAGGTGAAGTAGGGACTAATGAGCTGCTTCAACCCTGGAGCAGCCTGGCGTCCTTTCTCTTGGTCGGTTTTGGCCTTCTGAACTCAGCTCCACAGGCTGCCAACAGGAGGCCATGAGGGCCCAGCAAGAAGGAGGCACAGCAGTGCAGACAGTTCTCTGTCTACAAACTGCCAAGAAGACAACTGTGTCCGCTGACAGAGGGTGAAAGTGGTCACTGTCTCCCCATCAGTTTGGACATGAGAACAAAGAGGCAAAGAACTGTGAATATCACTCTTGGGCAAGCTGTCCCAGAGAGTAGAGGACAAGGAAAGCTATCCTACGCAGTTGATGAGACGGATGCAACCCCAACACCTGGCTGTCTCCCAGGGATGTCGTAGGAAAGATACCACGGGTGGTGGCTCAACAGAACAGACGGTGATCTTCTCACAGGTCTGGCTGGGCCAAGCCCTTCTGGGAGCCCCTCTGTTAGTTTCTGGTATCAGCCAGTGATCCCTGGTTCCTCAGCAGCAACTCCGCCCCCCCGTCCCTGCTGTGTGGCTCGGTATCTATTCTATTTATAATTCAGAAGTGATTACATTTAGGATCCAACCTACACTGGTATGACCTCAATAACATAATGACAAAAGAAAAACTCTGCTTCCTAACAGGATCACACACACAGGTACAAGGGCCATGGTGTCAACACATATTTCTGGGGACACAATTCAAACCATGGCAATATTCAAATCAGGTAAGGGCTCACTAAGAAAGGCTACTATAAAAAATTTCTCACTCATAAACACAGATGTGAAAATACTAACTATAGTATTTACCTGTGTTTTATTGACTATGCTAAGGCATTCAACTACATGGATCAGAACAAATTATGGATAACTTGGTGAAGAATGCGAATTCCAGAACACTTCATTGTGCTCATGTGGAACCTGTACATAGACCAAGAGCAGTCATTTGAATAGGGGGGATACTTTATGGTTTTAAGTCAGGAAAGGTACATGTCAGGGTTGTATCCTTTTATCATATGTATTCAATCTGTATGCTGAACAAATAATCTGAGAAGCTAGGCTATATGATGAAGAAAATGACATCAGGATTGGAGGAAGACTTGTTAGCAACCTGCATTATTCAGATGACACAGCCTTACTTGAAGAAAGTGAAGATGACTTAGAGCACTTACTGAAGAAGATTAAAGACTATAGTCTGCAGTCTGGATTACACCTCAACATACCAAACCAAACCAAACCAAACTCACTGCCACTGAGTTGATTCCAACTCATAGTGACCTTCTTTGGGTTTCTGAGGCAGTAAATCTTTATGGGAGTAGATCGCCCAGTCTTCCTTCCATTGAGTAGCTGGTGGGTTTGAACTGCTAGCCTTCTGGTTAGTAGTCAAATGCCTTAGGCACTATGCCACCAGAGCTCCTCACCTCAACATAAAGAAAATGAAAATCCTCACAAGTGGACCTACAAGCAATATCTTGATAAATGGAGAAAAGATTAAACTTGTCAAGGATTTCATTTTACTTGGATCTATAATCAATGCCCATGGAAGCAGTAGTCAGGAAATCAAATGACATATTGAATTGGGCAAATCTGTTACAAAAAACCCTTTTAAAGTGTTAAAAAACAAAGATAACACTTTGAGGACTAAGGTGCGCCTGACCCAAGCCATGGTATTTTCAGTTGCCTCATATGCATGTGAAAGCTGGACAATGAGTAAGGAAGACCCAAGAAGAGTTGATGCTTTTGAATGGTGGTGCTGGTGAAGAATCCTGAAAGGACCATGGACTGCCAGAAGAACGAACAAATCTGTCCTGGAAGAAGGCAGCTGGAATGCTCCTTGGAAGTGAGAATGGTAGACTTCACCACACCTACTTTGGTCATGTTGTCAGAAGGGACCATTCCCTAGAGAAGAATGTCATGCTGGGTAAACTGAGGGTCAGCGCAAAAGGGGAAGAAACTCATTAAGATGCATCAACACAAGGGCTGTGACAATGGGCTCAGGTCTAGCAACAACTGTGAGGATGGTGTAAGGCCGGGTGTATTTTGTTCTGTTGCACACAGGGTTGCTTTGAGTCAGAACCGACCTGACAGCACCGAGTAACAGCAACATTTACAAACTGAATCCAGTACTAAAAAGCAAACATCAGATCCAACATGGACACAGAAGGTTTATCTCAGAAATATCAGGACAGTTAATAGATAATTAATGTAATTTGCTACATTAACAGATGAAGAGACAGAAACACATGAGTATTCCACAGATACAGAAAAAGTATTCCATAAGATTCAATGTTCAGTCATTAAAACTCTGCAGACTTAACAGAGTCTGTCGGATATTCATAGTGAACAAAACACCTAATAGTAAACGGGTAGAAATGTTTCCTTTAAAGTTAAGTAAAATCTAAGGATGTAAACTATCCCATTGTTCCCAGCACAGTGACAGAGAACAATAAATAAAAGGTATCAGGATTGGGAAGGAAAAAACAAAACGACAGTATTTACACATGAAAAAGTTGTCTAAGTAGAAAATGTGAGGGGATTCGCAGAAACCATCAGAACAAATGAGAATTCAGAAGGAGGGCCAGACAACAAACTCAGTGTCCCTCAATCAGTTACGTTTCTTTAAGTGGGAACAAACAACAAGACAACAATTTAATATAATTTTCAATAGCAGCCAAAACTTTAAAAAACTTAAGAGTCCTTCCAATAAAAGAAAACATCATTGACAGCACTAAAATGGAACACAGAGAGTGATACTATGTTCATGGATGAAATGACTTCGTATTATAGAGGTGCCAACTGTTTCAAAAGTAAGTATAAATTCAAGTCCAATAAAAACAGAAATCGAGTTTTTGTTTCATTTCCTTTGTTTTTTAAAGGAATTAAAATCCATAGGGAAAAGAAATGTTAAAATTCAAATGGAAAAGTGAAGGGACAAGAACAGATGAGGGAATTTTGAAGAATGACATGGGCACAGAGCTTTCCATACCAGGTAACTC